CACTTCTTCGTAGACTAATGGATCTAGTGGCTGGTAATCTAATTGCCACATTGAGAGTGATTCGGGTGCGTTGAAACCGGATATCTCGAGAATGTCTCTTACATAGTTGAATTTCACTTTATCTTGTGCTTCTATTTGAAGGACTTCGTCTATTGCTGCTGCTGTTATGCTTTCTAATTGTTTGCTTCTTGAAACAGTCTCTGTATCTGGATTTTTCTCTGTACAGCCGAGCAAAAAAAAAGGTTTTCGTTATTGTCAATTAGGTCGAAATCATATGGAGAAGTGATTGAAAGTTGAATATATATACACATACCTCGAGAGATGTCAAATCCAGAAGGATCTTCATCAAAATCAAATGTAGAAACGAGATCAGGCCTCTCTTCTGATAATTCTTTCAAAGATCTTGTTTCAGGTTCTGCATCAAGCGTAGAGATTTCTCTGTTTTGTTCTGTCTCGATCATCGAAGTAGGCTTTTCGGGGTCAATGGATGGGTCCTCTGTAGCATCCATTGTGTTTTCTATTGTGTCTTGTTCTGAACAGTGAGATTGTTCTTCTGAGATCTCTGAAATGTTGTCCAAGACATCTTTTTCTTGCTCAATTGATCTACTTGATGTTGGGAATTGGCTAGGAAGGTCATCGATCTTCAAAGCATAACATTTCATTTCAGGTAATGAGAGAATCCTTCCCAAGAACTTAGGAACTTTCTTAGAAGGCAATGCCGATTCCTCATGTTCCACCTTTGATTTCTCTGAAGTATTGTTGTTCTTCGCTTCCCTTTGGACGCTACTTTCATACAGCTGAAGATACCTATCAAGCGATCCACACAGCGACGAAGTTCTTGTTATTTGCTTCAGTTTTGCACCTTCTGCTTTGTTGTTCTTAGTAGCGGGATTTTCTTTCAAGTTAGCGAAAATGTCGTGTCTCAAATCTTTCGAAAATCCGTACTTTCGAGGTACTTTGTCTAAGACAGCATCCATCGTGATACGGTGTTTCTCGTTCTTGTTCTCGTTGATCACATGCTTTATCTTCTGTCTTAGATCCTTGAAACGTTTAATCACCACTTGGTTCTTTCCTCGCTTCCTCGTGTAACCAGAACCAGATGAATCTTCATCAGCAAATTTCGCCATTGCTTCCTTCAACTTCTGAATCCCATCAGCTCTGTGTTCTGCAGATATGGAAGGAGAAGTTGGTTTTTTATCGATATCTCCCACCGAGTCAAAACCATTATTATGATCCTCTCTATTGCTACCATGAGTAGGAAAAGATCCGGCTTTAGTCATTGTTTTCGAGCTAAAAGATTGTTGGCTCTGGAAATGCCGGGCCAGAGGAGAACCCGGATCCTGCAAAACTTTTAACAAGAAGTTTCTATTCATGTGTATCAAATTGAGAGCATCAAGACATGCTTTTGACCGTCTAGGCGATGTATCATCCTCATTCTCGGAGAATTCGTTAGTATGTCTCAACTTTGGATCAAACCAAGCTTCCTCCTCGTCACTCATATGCTTCTTCTTGGACAGTTTTTCATCAAAATCTGATTTACTTCCATCAGTATCATCAACTGGAATGTTATCTACCCTAAACTCTTCATTGTCACTATTGCTTGATTCCTCAGACATGAGATAAAGCGGGTTCAAGGAGCCAATCGCGGGTGAA